TCAATTAGAAAAGATCCAACTCATTCCATAAGATGTTTGGCACGGGAGAGAGGTTTTTTTTTTACCTATGACAGTCCAAAGATAAGTGTAAAAAAAAAAACAAACTTGAAAATGAAATCGTTCTTGAAACGTGTGAGGCCACACTTACTCCAGGACAGAAAATTAGAAAGTTAGAGATGGCGAAGATCATCTTGAATAAGTTGGAAAATCATCCTGTACTCACACACACACACACACACACACACACACACACACACACACACACACACACACACATATATATATATATATATATATATATATATATATATATATATATATATATATATATATATATATATATATATATATGAAATAAAAACAGACCACTTTAAGGTTCCATGTAATAAATTATTTCACCACATCCCTTTTAAAGGACTGTGGATCATCAGACTTCCAAAGGTTGAAACAAAAAATGAAAAGAAATTTGCACATTTTTGACGGGCCGTATTAAACATATGTAAATTAACGAAGTGAGGAAGTGAGGGGGGAGAGAGAAGACATGATTGAATTAGATGTAATTTAAAATTCCTATATTTTCATACTCAAAATTATATGAGAAGGTCCAAACATTGACACATTTAAACGGTTAACTTAACGGAAGTTATATATTGATATCGAAGGGGTAGAGGAGAAAAAACACATAAAGCGAAAAAGAGAGAAGGAAGTCATGAGAGAAGGTGTCACTAATTTTCTTTGGAAAAAAACAAGTCTAGAAACAGACACTGTTATATTGCTTTACTTTGAACGTGTTATTTTGGGGGTTCATAAAGATTATAATGTTTGCTATACATTTGAATGTCTCTAGACTGTCTACAAATAATTTAATTTGATGTTTGGTAGTGATTTAAATTTTTTTTTTAATTTTGGGGATTTTCTATGAAATAGTCGATTAGAATCGACTATTTCATAGAAAATCCCCAAAATTTCATGGAACCTTAAAGTGGTCTGTTTTTATTTAAATTATTTGCTCTGGATTTACATTAAGCTCTCTGGATTTTATCCTCCTTGGGTTTACACATACGGATTAACTAGTTTTCATAAACTATATATATATATATATATATATATATATATATATATATACGGGATTAACTAGTTTTTCATAGATATATATATATATATATATATATATATATATATTATTTTATAAAAAATTATAACATAAGTATGTTATAAAATCACTACAAAAATAGCCATTTTGTTTCAACACACTCAGTGTCTTATCAAGTGATGATGTTGAAAAGAAAATAAATTTAACTTAGTGTAGGCGTCGTATACTTTAAATGATAATGATATGTCGCTGTATTTTTAATAGATTAGTGTTTTTATTGCATGATGGTCATACTTACGATATAAGTGTGTATTGTTTACCTGCATAGTGTTATTAGTGTTGGTGCAAATGTGTATATATTTATTTATGTGTTGGTTAGAGTATTGGCACTGAGGAATGTGTAGGTTGGTGTATGTGTATTTATGTTTTTTTTTTTATTATATATATATATATATGTGTGGGTGTGGGTGTGGGGTGTGTGTGTATGTATATATATGTGAGTGTGTGTGTATATATATATATATATATATTATGTGGGAAGGTATGGTAGATTATCAGAGAATAGGTTAATAATTGTTAATAATATGTGTATGTGTGTGCCTATATATGTATGTGTGTATGGGTGTGTGTATATGTATGTATTTGTGTGTGTATATGTGTATATGTATGTATGTATGTATATATGTAAATATATATATGTATGTGTATATATATATATGTGTGTGTGTGTGTGTGTGTGGTTGTATATATATATATATGTATGCATATATATATATGTATGTATGTGTGTATATGTATGTATGTGTGTGTATGTGTATATGTATAAATATGTATATGTATATGTATGATAAAATCGCGGCAGTATAATGGTTGGCCAGCATGGTTCGCTAGATTGGGTGCGACTGAGTAATGAATTCGTTCCTCACTGGATGCCCCCTAATTTCGGCTTTATGCCACTATATATTTGTATATATATATGTATGTGTGTATGTATGTGTGTATATATATATATGTGTGTGTGTGTGCATATATATATATCTGTATGTCCTATTTTATTGTGTATGTGTATTTATATTTAAGTATATTTCTGCTTGTATGAATGTGTTTATATATTTGTATGTTAGACTATATGTATATTGCTGTGTGTTGGTGTTTGAAGGTATATTTATGTATCTATATGTTAGTTCGTTTATATATGTATTTGGTTGAAAGTTGTTGTATTTTTATGTATGCATGTATATATGGGTGGTTGTGATTGCAGGTAGATATATTTATGTGTATATATATATGTTTATTTGTAGATATGTATGTATGTGTGTATATATATTTATGTATGTTTATGTATGTATATATATATGTGTGTGTGTGTTGGCACCTATTATGTATGGAGTTTGTTTTGTGTGTGTGGGGGTATGGAAACTTTGGTATATCATGACTGTTTTTATATATGTAAGTATGTGTGCATAAAAGTCTGTGTGTATATATGTGTGTGTATTTAGGTTTATATATATGTGCGTGCATGTGTACTTGTTATCATAGATATGTATATGTGCGTATATGTTTATGTTTATATATTTATTTGTATGTATTTCTGTATGTATATGTATGTATGAGTGTATATTTATGTGTGTTAATTTGTTTTTGCTCCCTGTATATATATATATATATATATATATATATATATATATATATATATATATATATATATATATATATAGTTGTGTGTTTCTTTTTATACAGTTTTTTCTTTTGCCTAATATATAATGAAACTATTATCAACTTATATGATTAATATATATTTTTATTGATATTTATGGTTTTAGAATTTTCGTTTTAATATATTAAATAATATTATTTTTAACCATATTTATCTTTGTATATTTGCTCCCTTAAGTTATAATTCAATAAATGGTTAGCATTTATTTAAGTCTGAAATATTTATTGGTTGTGATTTCTCATTGTCTGTCATTGTCTGTGGATGTATGTATGTGTATCTATCGGTGTCTATGTGTATGTAGAGTGTATTTACATTTAACTGTGTGTGTGTATTAGTGTTAGTTTCCACGTCTCCTTTTTTCATAAAGGGCTGTAGAGATGTTCATGTGTTTCCCCCCCCCCCGACCTCTTCCTTTTTTTTTTTTTTTTGTGTGTGTGTGTGTGTGTGTGTGTATCTAATTATGTCTGGGTGCTTATGTATTATAATCTGATTGTGTTTTTGTTGTTTTTACGCGTGAGTTTAAGACCACATTCACAAACTTTAAAATAAAAACGGAAATGAAAGGGAAAATGAAAAAAAAAAATATATATATATATATATACATGTATTGTCAAATGACCGGATATATTGTAGCGTCCTTGTCGAACGTAATTTCAATGAAGAAATGAATTGAATAAACATATATATTTTTTCTTTTCTCAATAATTTTGTAGTTTTTAAACTTAATAGTGATTAAATTTGGATTTTAAAATTGCCAGTTTTTAATTTTAATATTAAATTTTATCATATAATTTTATAATTATGGGTTAGTATAAATTATTTTTAATATTACACGTATTTAAAGATCTGAATAGCTATTATAGCAGGATTTCGTTGTCAAGCTTTTGAATCTTTCTATACTTCGTTTTTGATTGGTTATTCTAGCTTTTGTAACAATGTTTCCCCCTAGTGTAGGATCGTTAATTAATCTGAAACTTTTAAAACCATTTATTTTCTTTTCAACATCATCACTTGATAAGACACAGAGTGTGTTGAAACAAAATGGCTATTTTTGTAGTGATTTTATAACATACTTATGTTATAATTTTTTATAAAAATAATTATATCTGCTCTACATTGTATTGAGCACTCTTTTAAGAATAGTAATTGTTGGTTATTGAATTCATTCCGTATCTACCAATTATATACTTTGATATATATATATATATATATATATATATATATATATATATATATATATATATATAGTGCTCGCGTGAGTTTATGACCCCATTCGCACACTAGGGATTAAAATGTATACATATATATTGTCAGAAGACCGGATGGAGTAACGTTTATTCTAACGTAATTTCAACGAAGAAATAAATTGAATAACATATGTATTTCCCCTTTTCTCCTCGGTAATTTTATAATTTTAAACTTAATAGTGATTAAATTTGGATTTTAAGATTGGTAGTTTTTAATTTCAATATCAAATTTTATCATATAATTTAATAATTATTGGTTAGAATAAATCCTTTTTTTAATCTTACCCGTATTTTAACGATCTGAATAGCTATTATAACATGACTTCGTTGTCTGGCTTTTTGAATTTTTCTATACTTTTATTTTGATTGGTTAATCTAGCTTTTGGAACAACGTTTTCCCCTTGTGAAAGATTGTTAACGAATTTGAAACTTTTAAAACCATTTGTTTTGCATTCAACATCATCACTTGGTAAGACACCGGGAGTGTTGAAACAAAATGGCTATTTTTGTAGTGATTTTATAACATGTTTATGCTATAAATTTTCTAAATAAAAAAATAAATATATATATATATATATATATATATATATATATATATATATATATATATATATACTTAATTTCAATCCTTCATAATCTTCCAATCCTTATCTATGATTAATTAATGATGAACATATCATTTTCGTTTGTTATTGATTTATTCAGGATTCTTCTCTTAAGCTTGGAGAGTAATTATAGATTCTTACTGCTCAGAGTAGAGTATAATAATGGTATAAAAACCTGGGAGAATTCCAGTAAGATATATTTATTCATTTCTAAGATACAACGGATCAAAACCTAATCTCACAATTGGACAACTCTGCTGTTACAGGATTTACTCAATTTCTTTCTTGAAATCTGGTTCCTTTCAAGTAGAATTGGATTCCTCTTCCTATCTTTACAGTAACCTTCGTTCTTTCAATCTAACATTTACGATTTTTAAATTATTTCTCTGCTTTATTCTTTTGTCTTTCTGTTTCTTGCCATTCCGTCTTTCTTTTTTTTTTTTTTCTTTCTTTCTTTCTTACTTTTTTCTGTTCTTTTCTGGTTTATTTTCTTATTTCTTTCTTTTAAATATCATTCATAAAATCGTCCTTTTTTTCTTTCACATTTTTAATTAAATCATTTCTCTCATAATTGTCTTCTTTTTTGTTCGCTCGTTTTTCGTTGTGTGTTTTCTTCTTTAAATTCGTTCGTCTTTTTTTAGGTTTTTTAAATTCTCTGCTCCATTTTATGTCTTTGGTTTTTTGCTATTTTTTTTATTTTTTCCCTCAGTCTTTTTTTAAATTATTTATTTTTCTTTCCTTCCCTTTTTTTTTTCTTTTTCAAGTTTCTTGAAAGTGTTCTGGATTTACCTTCAACTTATTTTACCTTTTAGCTTTTATTTCATTCTTTTATTCTTAATTTTCCTTTCTTTTTCTTTCTTTCTTTCTTTCTTTCTTTCTTTCTTTCTTTTGCTTTGATGTTCATTTCCCATTTCTTCTCATTCGTCTAATTTCTTCAACTGAAAATTTGGTTCCGTTATTTGGCTTCGAAGAATTTTATGTTTTCATTCATTTTTTTGTTTATTTTTATTTTCACTGACAATTCTTTCGTTCTACTTTTTGCAATCTAATCTATATGTTTTATGTCCCTCCTCTCACTTTTCTCATTTTCCCTTTCAGTCTGTTATTCTTTTCTTTCTTTCTTTCTTTCTTTTCTTTCTTTCTTTCTTTCTCCACTTCTTTCTATCTTTCTTTCTTTTTTCCTTTGTTTCTTTCTTTTTTTCTTTCTTTTTTCCTTACTTTCTATATTTCTTCCTTTCTTTCTTTCTTTCTTTATTCTCCCTCTTTCTTTCTTTCTTTCTTTGTTCCCCCTCTTTCTTTCACCCTTTCTTTCTTTATTCCCCTCTTTCACCCTTTCTTTCTACCTTTCTTTCTTTTTTTTCCTTACTTTCTATCTTCCTTTCTTTCTTTCTTTATTCCCCTCTTTCACCCTTTCTTTCTTTACATGCTTATTTATTCTACCTTGTTTCTACATCCTTATTTTTTCCGCAATTTATTGCAAGCAGCTATGGGATCAAAGCAAGTAAACAATAACAAAAGAGTCCATCATCCTTTTCTGCCTGACTGAATCTCAGTTGTTGACCGAATCGAAAATTTCTTGTTTCGATTTATTATCGTGAAATTTACGTTGTTATGGACAAAGCATTTCAGAGGGGAAAATTAATTTATTTACCAATATCCAGGTTGGCCTCTTCAAGTCTTGGTGAGAGGCGTAGCTATGGAGAAACGGAAGGACAGGAAGTGAGAACGAAGAGAAATCTGTTTTTCAATACGCTATCTTTTATTTGCAGATTCTGTCATGAACAATTTACTTATTTAAAGTTTTTGTGACTAATTAATAAATAGTTTTGTTTAGTTTTCATTTCTTTTAATTTAAATTTATTGCTGTATTTTCAAAGTCAGTGTTTTTTTTTTTATTTGAATATCTTTTCCTGTTTTAGCATCTGACATTTTATCTCCTGTTTATTGTCAATTATTTTCGGCGAAATTATATTTTATTTTTATATGAATTAACATATTATTGCTTCTCAATTTTCTTTTAGTTTCATTCATTTTTTTTCTTTGCTATTTTCCTTTCAATATTTTATTTATTTTCCTTCATTATTCCTTGAATATGTTTATTCATTTTTAACTCTTTTCAGTTGGTTCTTGTGCTTGTATTTTCAAACATTATCTTCCACCACAATGTGTGTATGTGAGCTTGTGCGTCTGTGTCTGGAAGCAAGAGAGTCATTACCATGTTAACAAGAAAGTGACTTTATCCGTTATCATTAAACATATAAAAATACGCAAATATATATATATATATATATATATATATATATATATATATATATATATATATTATCATGTTCATCATCATCTCGTTGACTTTTGTAATCGTAGGGCGGATCCGAATGCAGAAACCACATTAACTCTTTTGCAAAAAGTTCTATCAACGGCAGCCATCAGCCATACTGGTACAGACATACCTGTCCATTGTTTGACATTGTCCAACCAGTTTCTGCGTTGGCGAACTCGCCTACGTCCAACATCAATGGTGCCTTACATAATGGTCTCGCACAGACTATCGTGCATTGTAATGTGTCAAAACACGCCATTTTCCCCTGTTTTACTGCGTAGAAAACCCTTTCTAGCACAAACTCATTGTCTTTTTGTTCCCAATAGAAAATGCTAAGAAATTTTCTTATGCATTTGTTCTCGATTCTTCTATCTGTACATATATATATATATATATATATATATATATATATATATATATATATATATATAATTTTTAAAGTGTGCTATATTTATGGGATAAAATGCTCAATATCAGAGATAGAGCGTACGTAAATATATAAAAAGTAAACATTGAAATCAAAACATGTTCATTTCATGCTAGGGCTTCAAAACATAGGCATAACTATTATATATATAGCATGAAACAGCATAATTATATATATATATAATAATGTTTGAAATTATATATATATTATATATATATATATATATATATATATATATATATATATATATATATATATATATATATATATATATATATATATATATATATATATATATATATATATATATATATATATATATATATATATATATATATATATATATATATATATTGTGAATTTCTTTCTTCGTTCAACGATAATTTTATTAAACTTATCAGACGTTACGAAAATTTTTTACATAAAATAAATAGACAACACTTGTTTATATATATATATATATATATATATATATATATATATATATATATAATATGTTATAATTAATTATATCTTTGTATGTAATTTATTCAATCAATGTTATAATAAATATAGCCCGAAATAACTTAGATTGTATTAAAAACATATGGATATAATATTGTGAATTTATATTTCTTCGTTCAACGATAATTTTATTAAACTTATCAGACGTTACCAAAAAATTTTTACATAAAATAAATAGACAACTGAAACTTGTTTATATTATTTAATGAAATCTATCTTTTTAATATTATATATTAAACGAAATACCTACTTGGATTATACTTTCCACTGACGGCATTATCTATCTATCTATCTATCTATATATATATATATATATATATATATATATATATATATATATATATATAAAATAGTAATTCAAAATTACCCTATAAGATAATTATATATTCCTGTTGTATGTAATTTATTTAATCAATGTTATAATAAAAATAATATATATCTATCTATCTATCTATCTATCTGTCTCAGTCTGTTTCTATCTATCTATCTCAGTCTGTTTCTATCTATCTATCTATCTCAGTCTGTTTCTATCTATCTATCTATCAATCTATCTATCTCATTCTCTTTCTATCTATCTATCTCACTATCTATCTCAGTCTGTTTCTATCTATCTATCTCAGTCTGTTTCTATCTATCTATCTCAGTCTGTTTCTATCTATCTATCTATCTATCTATCTATCTATCTATCTATCTATCTATCTATCTATCTTCCCACTGCAAATTAAAGTGACGTGACGCCGAAGTGAATCAATGAAGCACCTACATATCCATGTCTGTAGAAAATCCATGATGTATTATGACGATGCTAATTTGGTATTCATGGTTCCCATAGTTTTGAAGCAATGAGTCTTAATAATAACTTCCCCCTTTGACAAGTGAGTTTTACGGTTACACGCCGAATAAAGAAACCTTTCTGGCAAAATCACACGCACTTTCCTTATCAGGGGAACCTATGAGGCGAAAAATTGAGGTTTAAAATGTCATATTGATTAACCTTTTCCTTTCAACCGTGCTCAACAAAACCTTCCCGATCTGTTACAATAATGGAAAAGAGAAAAAAAACAAAACATAGTTACGCAGATTATAATATACAAGGCCAATGAGTCATTCAACTTGGAGTGTTATTGATGGGGGTTGTTGTGAGAGCAGTAAAAGTAAATGGGTTTTTGTGCCTGATATGTCTGAAAGATAACGATTAACACACGGCGTTATTACTGGGTATGACGTCAAACAACATCCGGCAGCAAGGATTGGATGTTTGGAGAAGCATATAACAACTTCCTAATTGCTTTTCTCCCCAGATCCACCCTGCGCCAAATTGGTAGCCCACCCTCGTACCTGGATGAAACGATGCACACATTTCTAATTATTCAGCCCTCACGATGTCAGGTTGTGACGCAATGTCGGTTTAATGTGGGGATCCCGAGCGCGTACACCCGGGCTAAGAATAAAAATTGCCCGAGCCCCCGCAGCCGTCGATTGCGCTGGCCTCGGTGCTCGACCCGATCCCCTTCTCTGGTGCAATGAGAGGGTGCGGCTTCGGGCAGCTGTTCCCCAGGGATGAGCACATCCCCTGAGCGCACTCTGCCCAAATACAAAGACGTAACAGAGAGATGATAAATAAACGTGTTACAAACTACGTGAGAGTAATTTATATTTACAAGGTCCGTTTAAAGTAGGGAACCCGAGCGCGTGCACCCGGGCTAGGAACAAAAATAGGAACTAATTGCCAAAGCAAAGATATTTGCCAACCGCCCCACGCGGTCAGATATGGCACAAGGCCGAATTTAACGTGGGGTATCCGAGCCCGTAGACTCGGGCGAAAATTCCCTGCAGACCCCACAAAAACGGTGTCGGGTTGTGGTCTCGTCTGTGTTCCTCTCCGCCCGAAGGCAGAGCGTTCGACTAGCTTAGCTGGAGACAAATCTCCAAGTAATTGCCAAAGCAAATCCCCAGGTATATCCTGTGTTCACTAAATATAACTACTAATATAGTCTGCCCACATAGGCGATAGGTAGTGTGGGACATCCCATTACAACACTATGAAATTTTGCTCAATACCTCTTTTTTTTTAGAGTCAGGACATATTTTTTGACTTCTTTCCTCTTCCTAATACTTTTCTGTCTCACCAGAACAAAATTTTTGGTAGGGGCGAAATGACTTTCGGACTACGCTACATAAATGGGGTGCAAATGTAGGTATACAGTAAGTATTATACCATTATTATCAGTGTTATCACAATGGTCCTAGGATTCATTTAATACTCGAGTTCAATACCAGGCCACAGCAGTGATGAACCAAAACTTGGAGAGTTGAGTTAAAGGGAACGTAACTGAGACATGCAGAAGAGGCATGGCACGTGGAACTAGAACAATCAACTCTGGCGGACGAAATAAATGATTCGAATCGAAATTCCAATCACCTGAAGGAGGCTGGAGAGTTGAACGACCGAAACGTTTTGAATATGGCAATGAAGATGAGGATAACATTCCAAATAATGTTAATAACATTAATAATAATGTGAATAATACAAGAATTCATTAAAATCATTTTTTAATATTTTTATTTTCATAATTTTTGTTATAATACATTTAATACAATTTTGATTTTTTATGAAATAATAAAGTTGGTTCTCTGTGTCGTGCCAGAAAGTTTTTTCTCCCCTAAGTCCAGCCTTCAAATTTATAAATCAATCATTCGCCCTTGCATGGAATACTGCTTCCATATATGGTCTGCAGCCCCCGCTAATTGTCTCAAGGTCCTCGACAAAATCCAGAGACGGATATGCAATGTGATTCGTCTCGTCTACAGTCACTTTATCACAGACGTGCCGTCGCTTCCCTATGTCTTTTTTCTCCTTACTTTTTGATAGGGGGTGACATGGCTTTCGGACCACAATGCATAAATGGAGGTACACAGATCTGCAAAAGTAGGTATACAGTAAGTACTATACTATTATTATCAGTGTTATAATAGTTTTTCTAGGATTCATTTAATAAAAGAATCCATTTGAATTCATTAAAATCATTTTTATTTTCATTATTTACATTATAATACGGTTATTATAATTTTTTTTAGTAAATAATAATAAAAAAATATTTCGCAGGGAAAGAGGAGGGTTTGAACATTTGAAGGATTGTTATATTTTTCATTGATATGTTTATTATCGATCTGTTATATTTAATATTTTATTATTGACATGTTAGTATAACCAATACGATACGTTTTGTTTCTCATTAGTGTATACCTACTTTTGCACCAGTCGAATCCATTACATTCACTTACGCTCTAATACCCTTGGGAAAGCTATGAATCCTCTTCAGTTGTAAATAGCAGGACAGACCGGGTTCTATAGCCTTAGATGTCAACTGGTCAACTGCAGAAAGAAATGGCAACCTACTGCGTTAAAAAATCTACCTCATCAGTCATGTATCGAAAGATACATGATCGACAAAGCGTGTATCACGCATGGCACATAACTGAGTGAAATGCACTTCCGTGCTAATACCCTTCTTTTCCCCTCCAGCTATGGGTAAATAGTACGACAGACCGGGTTCTATAGCCTTGGATGGCAACTAGTCTACTGCAGAAAGAAAGGGCTACCTACTGCGGGAAAAAAAATCTGCCTCGCCAGTCATGTATCGAAAGATACATGATCGCCTACGTGTATATCACGCATGGCACATAACTGGTGGTGACTCGGATTGAGGAATTGGAGAGCCGAGTTCGAATTTCAGTCGAATCCATTACATTCACTTACGGGGTAATACCATTGAGAAAGGGATAAATCCTCTTCTTCTTCCCCCCCCCCAGCTATTGATAAATAGCAGGATAGACCGGGTTCTATAGCCTTGGATAGCAACTGCTCTACCGCAGAAATAAAAGCAACCTACTGCGGAAAAATCTGCCTCGTCAGTCATGTATCGAAAGATAGATGATCGCCTAAGCGTGTATCATGCATGGCATATAACTGACTGATTTTTGCACACCCTAAAGTTTTCCCTTGTATTTCACGTAATTTTTATTACTTATCACGCCTCTTTCTCTCAGTTCTGTCCTCTATTCACTCAAAGGACTTAGTAAAGATTTGGTTGTTACGTATATGATTAACGCGAAGAAATCCCAGAGACCAGACTGGAATTTATAATCTGATCTCTTTTTCAAAGTGGAGTTAATCAGTTGTGATTCTAATGTTATCGGGCTCACCTGTAGAGATACCATAGTTAGATTTTTACTCGGTGTCCTATTAGAATGTCGAGAGTGTCAGGTACATTAAAGAGTGACCTAGAATTTATCATCAGTATACCCACTATGTGTAGAATCATAGGTCAAAGCTCTCGGCGGGTGAAATGACATTATAAACAGAAAGTGGACCTAGCTGGCCCTAGGGGCCACACACTCATGAGTGAGGCATTTACAGGGTGATTGAAATGTAACACCATATTTTATACATTATGAAATGGACAAATCCGGCAATTATTTAAGACATTTTTTATGTTTATACGTTCTTTTTATAGATACAAATATTTAAGTAAATGCTCTGTTTTATAACAAACATTATTAACAACATTTGCCAGCCTGAATGTCTGAAAGATTTTCATAGAAAATATGCTTCCTCCGACAGGAATCGAACCTGTATCCTATACGGAACCGTCGTATAGCCTGACGTGCCTTAACCGACTGAGCCACAGAGGATCGTTCGATTAGCAAGGTCGATTTTACTGCTTTTAAACACAATTCTCTATGACTTTTTCTCATTCATTCATATCTGCTCAATGCGTATCCAAATGTAAAAAAATGTCGTCACACATTATGAAATGGACAAAGTCCGACAATTATTTAAGACATTTTTTAATGTTTATACATTCTTTTTATAGATACAAATAAATGCTCTGTTTATAATAAACAGTATTAACAGCATTTACCGGCCTGAATGTCCGAGAAATTTTCATAGAAAATCTGCGTCCTCCGACATATATCCGATATAGGATAACAGGTTCGATCCTTGTCGGAGGAGGCATATTTTCTATGAAACATTTTCGGACAATCAGGCCGGTAAATGTTGTTTAATACTGTTTATTTAAATATTTGTATCTATAAAAAGAACGTATGAACATAAAAAAAAAATATTTTAGGCATGATGGTGGACACCTCGGCGTGGTGTGATGGTTAGCAAGCTTCTCTCGCTAGATCAGTTACAATTGAAAAGTGAGTTCGATCCTCACTAGATGCCCCATACCTTCGGCCTTGTGTCACATATAAGCTATACTTGGAAAATAACTAGTTTATGTATGATGGAATCTACCGTCTTGTAGAAATTATAGTTAAACGGAAGAGTCCATCCTACATAACATCGGGAGTAGCTTTTCAGTCACCCTGTATAAAACATTTTGGTATCGAGTTGTCTAACTGAATGACAGAAAGTTAGATAAACGCCCCACTCGAAAATGAAAGGCTATTGTCCCTCATATCATGGCTTTAAGAAAAGCAAGATTTGAAGAAATCCATCGAAACCACACACCTACACGTTCATATTAATTTGACGGAGTTCAGAAATTAATAGGCATTGATTCCGTGTAAGAAATATTAAGCCGCGTTTACTTAACAGACGTTGCTGTGATAACGTTGCAGTTGCTTCGCCCACTTCACTTCGCTTCAGTATTTCCTGTGAATGTTAAATCCTATCGGATTACTTAACGAAACGACAGAACATGATTTGCAAAAA